ACACACAAAACTGAATCCAGTTGGGTTTAGGTGAACTTCCCATATAGTCTGTACCTGTCCCACTGGGAAGAATGAAATGAATAGGACAGGAAATCCAGTGAAATTTACCATCAGAGTCCAAGACAAAAGCCATGTAAGTGACTGAAAAGCAAAGACATATTAATAACTAGCTTTATTATATATGGTTCTTGATATTCCTGATACCTCTTTGTGCTTGTCTTATACTTCTCTTTCCTTAAAGATAAGGATTATGACTATTTCTCTTAAATAGAAAGTACATCAAGTATTTCTTATATTGCCTAGTATTTGTTGATTAAAAAAAATTTCAAGTGCAAAATGCTTAAGTCAATAAAATGTAAACATGCAGTTACACTTAATCATTTAAAATACTTTCCTATTAAAATATACTTTCATATAGCCATGAACAATGACAGACAACTAACTCCATGTTGCCCACAGTTCCTCCAAAACCAATGCAGGAAAACCAAAGAAAATCTCACAAAAAGGATATGATTGAAAGGCAGAGAACTTCAAAACTAAAAAATACCTTCTAAAAAAAAACAAAACTCCAGCAAATCCCAGGAGATTATCTCTACACTCCAGCCACAGCCTGACCCATGAGCAAGGACGTTGAGAAAAATCTTGAAAGTAATGGCACCCAGTGCCAATGAGCAAACCTCATGCCCAGATTTTTGTTTCTAAACACCATTCTCTAAAAAAAGGTACACAGGATTTCTTGTAGATATGGCTGATTCCAGGACTAAATAATAGAAACTGCAAGATGCATGTGGAATATTTTGTGGTGCTGGGAAGTAAAGACACACTCAAAAAATAATGAGGATATGTCAAAGGGACACGGAGCCAGCTTGGAGTTACTCCTAGTGGTCAAATTTGGGACAATTTGCACAAAGAAGAATATAATGATAATAAGAAATTGTATCTCACAAAATAAAATAGGAATCAAAGATTCCACACTTAAATGAAGAAATGAAAGAATAAATATGTAAAGTCGAGACTCTTAATGCAAAATTCCAAGTAATAAATTTAGAAGGGATCATTAAATTTGAAAAATTACCATTTGTCTACTATGACAATAATAGTTTCAGGAGAAGCATTGAAGAATACTAGAATTAGGGGTAAAAAAATGATGAGAAATAGAGATTCTGCATAATCTTGAGTGTATTTCTTCCCAGATGCTTGTTTGTCATGAAGGAAAAATTAAATAGCTACAAAAGAAAAAACTACAGTGAGGACACCTGGCAGACACAACCTGAACCATGGTTGGAAATGTACACCAGTGGTGGGGCAAATCCACAGCAGTCAACTCCTGATACAATGTACAGACAGGGACACAATATCACATCTGCTGTACTCTTGCAGAAATGATAGAGTCTGAATCTAAGACTATGGAACAATTAGTGAAATTCAAAATGAGAGACATTTTAGGAGATAACTAGTCTGAACTCTTCAATAATATAAGGTACTGTTATGTCTGACAGACGTGAAAACTAAACATAATGTGTCATCCTAGACTGGATCCTGGAATAGGAAAGGATATTAGTGATACAATCAGCAAAATCTGAATAAGGCCTGTAGGTGAGATAATACTCCCTCATCAGTGTTATTTCTTCATAATTGTAGTCTGACTAGGTAAAGGAATATCCTGTTTTTAGAAATAAACTGAATTTACATATACACTGAAGTATATAGAGGGAAAGGGGTATTTAGATGTAAAATTTGAAACTTGAAAAACATGACACTATAAACACACACAGATCGATAGATCAAAAGACTGAGAGGCAGACTGGAGGAGACTGATGAGGCATTTATGAACAACATGTTAGTATTCATGGTATGAGAGTTCTTTATACTATTTCTGCACTTCTTTGTACTTTTTACTCACTAGCATGAAATTATTTCAAAATAAAAGTTCAAAATACACATCCCCAAATTTTGGCTGTATCAGCCTTAACTGGAAGCATACAGATTCCTACAACCAAACGCTGCAATAAGATAGGTGTAAAGCACATGTTTCCTATTTGACTCCCTCTTTTACTAGCACTTTGTGATATGAAGTTTTATGGTCCCATTGCATAATAATTTGATGATTATTGTTTTCTAAAAATCGACCAAGCTGATAGTACAAACTAGAGTACTCTGAAGCTTGTCATAATTAATATTCACTCCATAGCATGAAATAATGGAAGCAGTATCTTCAACAATACTGAATTACCAGAGGAAAAAAATATTTTGATGGATTTCACTATTTTGGATATAAAGCTTGTAAAAATGGGTCCACAGGACAGGAGAGAGGACAGGGGCAGGAAGAGGTGGCCTCAAGTCCAATGAGGGGAGTCAACATTTTTATAGATAACGGATACCACACGCAAACAATGGCTGCGTTTATCCGGCTGCAGTGTGCTCGCTTACAGAGCTTGTAATTGAGGGTGATTATGGTTAATGATTCCAGTAATGTGCACTTTCAAACCAGCAGGACAATGTAATTTGTATCAAACCTATTCAGGATCTCTTCAGGCATTTTGCCTGGTTTAATCTTAGCCCAGCCCTGGCTGTAGAGGTAGTCTCTGGAAGCTTCACAGCTGGCTCAAATTAAAATGCTCATGGGCTCCCGCCACTCCCCCACTCCTGCAGTATATTCAGAAGTAAATAAAGCTGTTTCAGTCTTCATATCAGCTGGACAGCTCAGGGCCTGTCATAGTTTAATGCAACAGGACCAAGATGTTTAGTCTGTAAACACTAGGTTTTCATGTGCAGAAAGGAAGCAAATGTCTGTCTGTGAAATTCACTGCTGAGGTGTTAGCCAACAACAGCTCTGCTTCCTGGTAAAGAGAAGCTGTTTCGTGTGTCAATATACTGTGAAACACAACGTGCTGGGAGGTTGTTCAAAAAATAAAAGTACACAGTTAATACAAAACATGTCCAGTCTCCACTTCAACAGCTACCAGGAGAAAATCTCTTGTAAGCAATACTGTTTGTGGAATCAGTTCAGGAATAGGTTCTATTTAGAAGCTAGACTATTCATTTAAATCTAGTGCCAGACAGATCCATAAAAGAAAATTTTAACTATGACATTAAGAAGCATCAAGTGGCATTACAATTAGCACACATAATGTAGTGGAGGGCATGGGGAAGGCAGTAGAGCACAGAGAAGACAGGTAGTGACTCTACAGCATCTTACTATGCTGATGGACAGTGACTGTAATGGCGTATGTGGGGGGAACTTGATAATGGGAGGAATCTAGTAACCATAATGTTGCTCATGTAACTGTATATTAATGATACCTAAATAAATAAATAAATAAATAAATAAATTTATAATTTTTCTAAAAATCGACCAAGCTGATAGTACAAACTAGAGTACTCTGAAGCTTGTCATAATTAATATTCACTCCATAGCATGAAATAATGGAAGCAGTATCTTCAACAATACTGAATTACCAGAGGAAAAAAATATTTTGATGGATTTCACTATTTTGGATATAAAGCTTGTAAAAATGGGTCCACAGGACAGGAGAGAGGACAGGGGCAGGAAGAGGTGGCCTCAAGTCCAATGAGGGGAGTCAACATTTTTATAGATAACGGATACCACACGCAAACAATGGCTGCGTTTATCCGGCTGCAGTGTGCTCGCTTACAGAGCTTGTAATTGAGGGTGATTATGGTTAATGATTCCAGTAATGTGCACTTTCAAACCAGCAGGACAATGTAATTTGTATCAAACCTATTCAGGATCTCTTCAGGCATTTTGCCTGGTTTAATCTTAGCCCAGCCCTGGCTGTAGAGGTAGTCTCTGGAAGCTTCACAGCTGGCTCAAATTAAAATGCTCATGGGCTCCCGCCACTCCCCCACTCCTGCAGTATATTCAGAAGTAAATAAAGCTGTTTCAGTCTTCATATCAGCTGGACAGCTCAGGGCCTGTCATAGTTTAATGCAACAGGACCAAGATGTTTAGTCTGTAAACACTAGGTTTTCATGTGCAGAAAGGAAGCAAATGTCTGTCTGTGAAATTCACTGCTGAGGTGTTAGCCAACAACAGCTCTGCTTCCTGGTAAAGAGAAGCTGTTTCGTGTGTCAATATACTGTGAAACACAACGTGCTGGGAGGTTGTTCAAAAAATAAAAGTACACAGTTAATACAAAACATGTCCAGTCTCCACTTCAACAGCTACCAGGAGAAAATCTCTTGTAAGCAATACTGTTTGTGGAATCAGTTCAGGAATAGGTTCTATTTAGAAGCTAGACTATTCATTTAAATCTAGTGCCAGACAGATCCATAAAAGAAAATTTTAACTATGACATTAAGAAGCATCAAGTGGCATTACAATTAGCACACATAATGTAGTGGAGGGCATGGGGAAGGCAGTAGAGCACAGAGAAGACAGGTAGTGACTCTACAGCATCTTACTATGCTGATGGACAGTGACTGTAATGGGGTATGTGGGGGGAACTTGATAATGGGAGGAATCTAGTAACCATAATGTTGCTCATGTAACTGTATATTAATGATACCTAAATAAATAAATAAATAAATAAATAAATTTATAAAAGAAGTGTAAACATGCTTTCATGCTTTTCTTTTTCTTCTTTTCCTTTTGGTTTATTGCTGTTTCAGGGAGGGGTAAGGGAAAATGTCTGTTCACGTGTGCCTGTTATTTTCAAGTACTCTGGTCACAAATACTGAAGCATGATAGAGTGTGCACACAAAGGAGATGGAAGCCTAGGGCTCAAGGTAATTACAATTCTGAAATAAGAAATGCCATTGTGTTCCACTCCTCAATTTTTTAAGTAGAGTTTTTCTGTTTATGCGAGCGAATGCAAATCACTACAGGTCATCAGTTTCAGAAGCAACACCTTCAGTCTAAACAATGACATCTGTCAGATGGCAACAGGATGAGGCTGGAAGGTGGGGTGAAAGTGGACACATCCTGGTCTCCACGGTAAACAGTAAGAGGCAAGGAGAGTGATTGATACGTGAAAAGACGGCAATGACTGGATGGCAGTGCGGTTATAAGCAGCAGGAGCTGAGCAACTCAATTATGTCACCAGGGATTTTTCATGCACAGGTATCTCTCATTTTATTTTCAAAAGGCTTGCAAATCAAACTGGTTTGCTCTCAAATGTTTATCCATATGTTCTGAAGTTTAAAGTTTATGACATTTGCCTCACATCCTATTGTAGATTATGTTGTTCAGTTCTTGCACTTTGAATGTGAAAGTGCAGTTGTTTGAAATTGGCATGAGCTAAACTGACTTTAAATGACTTCATGTTGTCTAGCATGGAAATACTATCATTTCTTGCTGAAAAGTAATTTTAAAAAAGTAATTTTGTATAAAGATTCATTGATTAGTTTCAGGATTTAGCAATTTTACCAATCAATTAAAAGAAACCTCTCCCTCAAGCAGATACAATATTACCCTGGATGTTTTTTAGTATTTTTCCTGTATCACATTGTTAAGAAAATTATTTAAAACAGTGAAAGGACAGCTAATGTGATGCAATGTAAAATACATAATAGTTGGACTGGGAGTAAAACAGTTTATGTCATCTGTGAGAAGTAATTCTATCAAACTCTTAGAAACATTTCGAGAAAGTATGGCTATAATTCTCCTAACACCTTTCTAACAGCTACGAAATCTCCCTCCAGAATTTTATGGCCATTCCATTTTGACTTATCTTCATGGGTGTTGGTGGCCGATGCTCTGGATAAGTTCATTCCCATCTGGAGTGCTAAACACTCCCTATCTCAGGCTCCCTTGAAGCTAGGGCTCAGCCTGTTACTCAGGATTTCCTAGCAGATGCATTCATACAGGAATTGGAAGGGGGCCAGTCATTCTGACAAACACGGTCATGGAGGCATTTCATCTGTCTTTCCTGTAGCATGGGTCCTGGCTTTGTGAAGGTGACTACAGCAGAAGCAATAGGATTGCTGCTGAAACAGCTCTGGTGTAAGTTAAGCAGTTCTCTGGTTTCCTTGCTTCTGGGTGTATAATTCAAAAATTGAAATGTCCATTAATACACCAGTTTCTGCTTGAACTAGCTGGGGTGGACTCTGCAATCTGAATTTAAGAACCTGATTAATAAAATGTGAAACTGAAAAAGAAGTTTATCCCCATATGCTTGATTCTGTTATTTATTGGGATGCTGTATTGCATGGTTAAACATCCATGTCAGCATCCCTTCCAGTGGACCTTCTTTGTATTTACAATCTTTCTTCTGTCTGGTAACCTTGTGCACACCTGTACTGCTGAATGATTCATTTACTTTTCAAATGTCCCTGGTCACGGTAGCTTTTGCTAGCAATTTCTGCTATGATAAAATCCCTGGAGTGAATTTTTTGCAAAGATATGACTGAATCACAGTAATAGATCTATCTCATCAAATTATCTGCTTTTCTGGGGAACGGTCAGCTTGAGAAACATTCAAACCAAAAGCACGTGCACTTTCATTACAGCTAATTGGGAGTGAGGTTTCCAGTAGAATTACTTCGCACCTCAGTGCCTGCACCTTGGCTGAGTGACTGCATACCCTGAGGTCGGTGGGGACTGCACCCTCCTCTAGAGGACCGAGGGTGAGGCGTCCATGTTCCTGTTCTAGAATCATACTCTGTCATCTCCTTACTCTCCAATATTTCTCAAATTTCCCCTTTTTTGAGAATTCCTTGACAGCTGTCTTTTTTCCTTACAGACTTTATAAAAAAGAAATGACATATTTAAAATATTTTCTCTGACCTCTTTAAATTTTATACTTCCCAGAGTCGCAAATAGCACATTAAGTACCGACCACTGTCAGATAAGTACAATGATACATCATCCAGAGATATCCTGAGAAGGCCATCCAGATTCCAAAATGCACGCATGTGTCCTATTATTATTTGATGTTTTGCTGAAACAGAGGCAGAACCACTCACGTCTTGCCTTTTGCTATTGACTTACTGAGACGTTACTATGAGATTCCAGATACGGAGCCTCTTTCTAAAGACCATACTGGCCCTTTCCAAATGCTCTTGGGTCAGCAGTGGAAATACCAGATACTTCACTCTGGCAATCTTCAGGATCAAAAATAATTGTAATAGGTCAGAGGGGAGGCAGCCACCCCTTGATTTTTACATGATATATGGTATTCTGGGGCCTTGAAATAAGTGAATTGAAATGTTAACTACATTAATAACATCCAAAAAGTGGACTTTGGTGACATATGGGACTGAAGAGAACAAGCCACATTTACCAGGCTTCCAGTAATAGTAATACAAGACAAAAGGCCAGGCTGGCGAGCTGAAATTTGTTTACCAAATATTTGGTAACAGCGTTATTTTCTCCCCCATTTACAGCATGTCATGTTTTTTATGATGTTGTGGTGACACAAAATGATAGTAGATAAAACACCATATACACTTACTGTAAGACTTGCTCTGAAATTTCCAATCTGTTCTTGGGAAGACAATAAAAATATCCATTTTTTTCCCCCAGATGTTTTTCTCTAAAAAGGAAGAAAAAAAATGTTTCAAGTTGCCAGTAATTCCTTGGATATGTGCTTGTTATTACTTTTTCAGATAGTACTCTATTGAAATAATCTCATTACATACAGAATAAGACTAAATTGCCACATGCTTCTCTTAGAAAATCATTTTTTTCCCCAATGCCAGCTGGTAATCTTTCACTGTTTGTCACCTTGCACAGGGCATTCTGCAAAAAAGCATTTTTAAATTGACACTTTTAGGCCTGCATTCAGAGAGTTGTTTGAGTGACTAGGGAAGAATTGAAAGAGGTTCTTTTAGGAAATAAGTTTCTTCATGGGAAAGAGTATATGGTTTGGTCTCAGATGTAATTTATCCATGTCATGTTTATGCTTCAAAACATATATCTTTTTAAAGTTATGTATTCGTATCAGATGCATTGAAGTATATATACACACGAACACACCTCTACAGGTTTTTTGACAATAGAAGTTTTCCATCGTGACCTAAATCAGATTCAATAATGTATTTTATTATGCCAGGAAAATGTCAGCAGTTAGTTTTCTCAATATTAAGGAGTTTCTCAGCTTTGGAGTCTAAATATACCTTGGAGGACCTGCACTGAGAAAAGGTTTTATGATCTGCATACGGATCTGGTAGAAAACATTACCTGTTTTTTAATACATTTTTTTTAATGTACATAGAATTTTGAAACCATCTTTGACATGAATGTTAAGGGCAGCAATAAGTGAATCAGAAACATATGGATTGCATTTTTATACACAGGAACGTCTGGTGGCTTTTTGTCTGAAATGGCCAATTAAACTTTTTTCAGTGTCAAGACAGGTACAATCAAAGTGACAAAACTCTGGAATGCAGAGATAATTGCTGTATATTAGAAAAACAGATCCAATATGGGATATGTGTGCAGTATGTATGTATGTGTCTATATAAATATAGGTGCACACTGTACGTAGAGAGAAAGAGTCAGACATTGTTTCTCTAGAGATTAGAGAATGATTAAAGAATGACTAAAAATTGGCCCATGCAGTCACACCTGTGGGGACTGGCAAGTCCAAAATCTAGGGACAACCTGGCAGGAAAGGGGGAAGAATTGATGCTGCCACTCAAGTCTGGAGACAGTCTGGCAGTGGAATTCTCTCTTGATTGGGAGACCTTAGAAACTTTCTTTGAAGGCCCTCAGCTGATTGGATAAGGCCCACCTGCACATGGAGCGTAATCTGCGGTACTTAAAGTATATTGATTTAAATGTTAATCTAATTTCAAAATTACCTTCACTATAGCATCTAGACTGCTTTTCAACCAAACATTTGGGTAATGTGGGCTCTCTAAGCAGGCACATAAACTAACCCCCACATGTGGTATCGCCAGCCTGTGCTCACTGAGAATTAGAATTTTTTTCACTATCTTTTCAAAGTAGACCTCACTAACTATCAGATTTGGAGTAATATGAACACCTTTCCATTCATTTTCCTTAATACCCATGAAAGTATATCACTTTAATGTTCCTAAATTTCCTCTTTCCTCATGTCTTTTTGACTTTTCCCAGCTCCTGCCCTCAAACACATCAATAGATGTCCATTTTCTTGATATGATTACTTTTCATGAGAGGGACAAGATACCATGATCCATTGAAAGATTTTGAATCTCTCACCCCAGTTGACTTCTAGTCCATGGCAGACGTCTTTATTCACTGCTTCCAGCCTTTTTAAGAATCTTTATGTATGTTCCCGTGTGCATGTGTGTGTGTGTGTGTGTGTGTGTGTGTACACGCATGTGTGTTCTTTCCAAATGAAATGTATTCTTTTTCCCAATGTAATACCTCTAAATTGAAAGACAGAAATTTGTGGAGCTCCAAAAACATAAAGTAATAATTGCATGTGTGAATATCAAAGCATTACAGAACTAATTATTAGTCTTCCAAGCAGAGACAACTGTAGGCAGAGGTAAAAACTCAGGGAACCAAGATATAATGCTAAAATTAGTTACACATTACAGTCACAAAGAGGACAGATCCTCTGCAACTAAGGTGAATGTCACAGTCCCTGCTTCTTGCTTCCCTTCTGTGCATCACTGCCTGAAAGAAGACACTGCTCAGAAGGACTTGCAGAGGTCATCTAGGGAATCCTAGTGCCTCTGGTTTGTATCACATGGTAAAGCAAATATTTTAAAATATTAGCTATTATGTTTTAGGACAGTGCATTCTGCTGCTTATTAAGTCTCAGAAAATGCTTCATAAGATTTTATATCTGTGTAGAATCCCCGTGTTGTAGAAAATACCAGTCCTCTGCCTAAAAGCATCCTATATGGAATCCAATAGCAGTTAATTTTTTATTAATCATGTTACATTTTTCAGACTACTGTTTCAAGTGTTTTTATCTGGTCACTAAAACCTCAGAGATAAATGAATATGTGGTTGTCAGGGTGCATTCCTGGGCAAGTGGCCAGAGGGGCAACCATATAACCCTAGCTGGACATTTTGTGGCACGATGTGACATCACCTAAATCATTCATCTTTCCTTTCTTTGTGCTTTGCTCATTTCCTAGTCAATGGCTGACATTTATTACATTTTTTCCCTCAGTTATCTATATTTAGCCTGAAGCCCTCTTGAGGTCTTCCAGGCTTTAGTAAAAAATAATTTTGCTGTCCTCATGAGACGAACTCCACCTCTGCCTGTGAGCTCCTACTTCTGACATGTGATTCCGTTATCCAGGAGCCCAGGCCACGCTTACTGATTCTGGCTGCGCAGTTCATTGTTGACGTGTCGGATCTTTTCTGCTCAGGTCCTGACTCTTAGGAAGACAGTGGTGAGAGCCCGTGTCTGCTCCCAGACTTCCTCCTTTGAGCTAGGAAGGTGCAGTTCGCTCAGACCTGGGTCCATGTGTGCGCCAGGTGGAAACAGCATGGATGTGTCCAGCCGCACAATGATACGTGCCCTGATGGGCAGCTGTCCACATTCAGTCATTTCAGTAACCCTAAATGTGGAATCACCAAACAGCTCTAGTTTCTTCCTCCAAGGCTGTGGATAAAATGAGAGTTCTGTGTCCAGGATTCTCACCTGGCTGTGGTTGACTAGCTCACTGCACACCTGTGGGCAATACATGGCTGTTGACTATATAAAGAGCTCTGTCCAGTGCTCTGCGCATGACACAGTGGCAGGGCTGCAAGGCTGCAGGAGAGCAGAGCAGAGGCTGGAGTAGTGGCAGCACTGAGGACAGAGGCCCAGAGGACGGCTGTGCAGACAGAGCTGCCCAGGGGCAAGGGGAGAGACAGGCTTGCTGTACGCAGACTTGTTCTGAGTGAACAGGATTTTAGTGACTGACCTGCCACTGTGAGAATAAAGTTGGGTATATCCCTTTCACCCCAAGAATGTTTTGCTGTCTTTTTCTATGGTCACACTGAATCCATAGCAAACTTGCCTGGGGCCAAAACCCATTGGCAAGACAAAGGCCCAGGTTGTTTTGAAGTGCTTTGTTCCCTGGAATTCTCTGTGGAAGCTGTCTGTGGAGAATTATGCCCTTGCTCTTCCAGAATCGGGAGTCCTGTCTGGTAAAGCTTCCGTCTACCTGAGCCAACACCCTTCGCCCTGCTCGCTGCTTCCTCACATCCCCCACACATGGGCATATGTCCTACAAACTGTATGTTGTACAGATGGGTGGGTCAAAATAAATCAGATAGAGGAGACAAATACCATGTGATTTCACTTACACGTGGAATCTAAAAAACAAAACAAACAAGCAAACAGAAATGGGCTCATAGAGAGAACAGATGTATTTGCCAGAGAGAAGAGCGGTGGGAGGATGGGGAGAAAAGATGAAGCTGGTGAAGAGGGACAAACATACATTTATGAAATACTTGTCACAGGGATGGAAAGTACAGCACAGGGAACATGATGAGTAGCACTGCAATAACTCGGTGGGCTGACAGAGGGGAGCTAGATTTACCGCCGAAAGCACTTCATAATGTGTCTAAATTTGAATCACTATTTTGTACACCTGAATCTAATATAATATTGTATGTCAATTATACTTCAATAAAAAATGTTTTAAAAAGAAAAGTAGGTTGAACTAGAATCCAGGCTCTCTCATTTCTCATTCTAACACTGAAAACACGTCTGCAGGGCCGGGGGCACATTAGAGCATCCTTG